CTACCACGACTCGAAGACGAACGGGAAGGAGCCAAGGACATGGTTTCCGGGGCCACCTTTCGAATCGGGGTCCTAGCGTCGTCCCCGCGATGGTCGATGTCCACATCCCTGTCGCGCAAGTATTCCAGGCTGTCTCCAATAGAACGGTGTCGGTTGGGGGCTCTCGCAAGCAAGAGGACACGGCGTCATCCCGCACTCATTGATCAGCATGGCCACAGCAATGGCGGGCATCATGTCGGCATCCCGGACTCCATCCACCATCCACCAAGCGAACTCCCGTACCGTTTCGGACGGGCGGCGCTTGGAGTAGTCGGTGATGTCTGCCACCTTCCGATTTAGTGTCTTCGCGATGAATTCATGTCGGAACGCTTCACTGGCCTCCACCCATGACACATTGGACCCGTCCCGACAACGTCGAGCCCACCAATCCTGCACCAAGCGCACGCCGCACGACGTCAGGCGGTCGTCAAAGATCCGAACCACTTGAGCGTCCGTGATGTCGTACTCGTCCTGTAGGGCGTTGAACTACTTGAGGAAGTGCTCCAACGGGATGACCCGATCAACGCAATCCAGCTTAGGCGCGTACTTCCTGGCGTCGGCGAAGGCCAGGCGGTTGAGGTTTCGGTCAGCGCCAACCCCATGAGGCGTAGCAGGGAAGTACGGCGGGGGTTCGTTTCCATAGCCTCCTCCTCGGGGAGGGTCGTTGGACGGGCCTCCACCATGGCCACCATGCCGGGTAGCCGTCGTCCATCGTTTTCTCGGTCGGTTAGGTCCGGGATAGTCTCACCCTCCGGGAAGGTCTCTTCCTCCAGGACCTCCGTTTCCACCGCGATCGGGAGAAGGGTCTCCCCCATACCCCCCACCGTAGCCACCGGCCATCGCGCCTCCCAGACGTCCTTGATCGGTGTGTCAGATACCCTCGTGAATGGGGCACTTCGGCAGGATTCGACCGCAGAGGAGGTGAAAACGGGACCGGAGGTGCAGGGATTTCGGCTCCATAGACTACGGTGTCGTGAAGGTCTCGGTTCAATCTCTTATGACCAGGCGCGGGAGTCGGGCCGTCATCCTTCGGAACACTAATCACGGGATGCGAGCACTTGCTCATGCCGACGGACGAAAATGCGGGGTTGGTGTCATAGATCGGCGTACCGACTGGAGTCGCAAAGGAGACCGGAGGAGTGGCCAAGGTTATCCCGTACTGGGCCAACTTGGGATCCAGAGAAGGGTAAGTCATAAGAGGACTGGTTCGGTTGGTGCGAGCCCGGAGTTCTTCCAACTCCCGTCTTTCGGCTCTTTGGCGAGCTTGCGTCTTCTCCAGTTCACTCCGTAGTTCCACCAGGGCCTGTTCTTGGCTTCGTCGGTCGGTTTCGCCCTTGGCTTCCTGTTCCCGGAAGAGCTTCTTGGACGCCTCCAATACTCCTTTGTCGAGCCGGAGCGTTCGGACAGACTTGGCCAAAGCCACTCGCTCCACTTCCAACGCGACTTGCGCTGAAGATAACTGGGCTTTAGCATCTTGGATCTCTGCCAGGTCATTCCCGGACGGGGCCGCTTCGGACAATGAGTCAAGTTCCATTTCCAGCTCTCTCACCACGTCCTGGCTTTCGGCGAGGGCCTTCGTCAAGCCATGGCATTCGATCTTCAGGGACTCGACCTCCCGTTGTCGGCTAGACTCCGCCTCGGCGCGGGCAGCCGTGGACCGTTCCAATTGGGCCGTGAGGTTCTGTGCTTCATCATGCAACCGCGCCGACTAGCCTTGCAGTACCAGAACGTCCTGTTCCAACCAGACGCAGTTGGGGCAGACCCGGTCTCTCTCTTCGGCCAGTTTTCGCCACTCCAGGGTCGTAGACTTCGCCTTCTCCAGTTGACTCTCGTGGCGCATCACTTCCTGACGCAACGCCTTCAGCTCGAGGTCCTTCTTCTTCACCAGCTCTGTGTTTTCCGCCGCGCGAAGCACTTCTCTCTTGCTATACTCCGTCAGGAGAGACTGCTGCTCCTGCGACGTTTGAGCTTGGAGCGCTTGCACATCGTCCCGGTGCTGGCGTTCTAGAACCTCGACCCGTTCTTGGCGAATACACGCCGACCGGTAGGCGTCGTCCTGGACTGCCAACACTACAGTCCCGTTGTATCGCCGCAATTTCACGGTCCTTCGCCTGAAGAGCGCTAGCGATCCTCAGCTGGAAATACCCTTCTTGAGATTCTTGGTACTCCCGGAACCATTTGTCCCATCTCCCTTGACACTCGTCCATCCGGGATTGGACTTCGTCCCGGACTTCTATCTCAGCGTCCCGTTGCATGGCGCATCGGTACGACTCCAGTTCGAGTAGGTATCTGTTTTGGAGCGACTCCCGGGCGGCAAGGAACTCGTCCTGTCGACGAGATTCGTTCACGGTCACCGCGGTCAGGAGGGCGTCGGCTACCGCCACCATACGGGACTCTTGGGCATCCAGGAGTCGCAACTGATCCTCGTTGTACCGCTGTAAAAACCGCAGAGCCTCCGCTTTCTGCTGGAGCTCCACGTCATGAACGATGGTCGCAAACTTCTGCGACACCTCTCCGGCCGTCCTCAACACGATGGCGCCTTCGACCGGGAGGGGTTTCACATCCTCCTCCCATGGACGCTGGTCTCGGATTTCTTCAATCTTCCGATCGTAGGGAGCCCCTTGGACTAGGGGGCCTAATTCCCTGATTTCGAAAGATTCCGCTAGGTTTCGCACCACCCCAGTCCCGGACGTCTCGTCTTCCAAATCGTAACCCGTCAAGTCGATCACTTCGCGTGCGAGCTTGACACCTTCCGACTTTGCAGTTGGTTTCTTCGGTGGCGAGCGCAACGCGAGTTGGTCGGCGTCCGGGGATACGTTCGGAGAGCCGTCGGCCGGTCGCTTCTTCTCCGGGGGCAGGGTCGACATCCCGGCGTTCAAGTGTGGAAAGTTCTGGAACCCAATACAAACGCAAAAACGTATTTCAATGGTTGTGGAATGGCCTACAAGAAGCTGGCCCGAACCTGATCAGGCGTGATACGTTCCCACGCAAGGATCGCGCGCTTGATCATTGTGGTCCTCTTGACGCGAGAGGCTGGCGACAATGCTCAAACTTCGGTGTGGCATATATTCTCTCGTTCACTGTACCAACCTCTAAAAAAAATCGCCGGACACGAACATTCTCGACTTTGGATTCTTCATTCAAGCACTACAGTCGCAGAACTATTCACACTGCATTGACGACATTGTCAAAGCGACGAAGGATGCATAGGACTCAGTTGACTTCACCACACTCAGCGCCAACTTCTTCATCCTACAGTGCTGCCTGCAAGAGGTCATTCGTACGAACGATGACAATAAAATACCTCACATGAAGAAAGCCAAGTTTGCAGCCGGGGTAATGTTGCCAGAGGTTGGGGTGGACGACAGCGGTGTTTTGAACTCTGGGCTGATTTTTGTCTCTGAAGCTGATGTGACTTTCAAGATCGAGGAGTTGGACCGAGAAACTCGCCAAGTAATCGAGTTGGGCGAATTTTGCAATGAATTGGAGCGATTAGCTGTTCAAAGTTATGGCGATGATGAAGGAGACCTAGACATTGTAGAACTTACTGGACTTTATGTAGTAACTAAAAATCGATTCATGTCATTGACAAAAGCTTTAACTTTCTTGCTTCGCTCGCTGGTAGCACTCAATTCCCAACTTCAAGAATCACCATTGAGTAATCACTTCCGGACAGACGAGACCGTACTGGTTCTTAAACAAGACTACACATGGGAATATTGTGTTGAAAATGACATTTGGCGGACAAGCGCAAATTGTATGTGGAATGTTTCTGCGTCGTATTCGAAACTATCAGTATAAGCTGCCGAGGTAACATGCACTGTGTCCAATAAAAGCTACGATTTAACAAGTTCACAAACGCTGCACAAACATGCCAATCCGCGCTGTCAGTAAGAAACGTTCCATGCACCGGCTTGTGACGCGGTAATTGAGTCATGGCTTTCGAGTTGGTACTGCGCTGTGAAGAACTCGATAGCAAGCGTGTTCTGGCTCAACACCCATTCGACCAAATGCTAAATAAGTTCTCCTAGGGCCGAGGCCACAAGGAGAAGCCACATGTTTGGCTGTGCCAAAGCCAACGTCCTTCTTCCTTTGTTTGAACTACATGAGTGTGTTGATGGTGTGGCGAGAAACGCAACGACAGTACGTGTGGTTGTGAGCGTGTGTCCTCGGGTTCCTTATGCCATTTTACATTTGCCTCAACAAAGGGAAATCCTGGTTCCCTCTCAGGCGCAAGAGAGGGTCGTGACACAAGTACCGAGACGCAAGTCAAATCAATGATTTCTTTAGCTTCTTTACGAAGCGTTCAACTACTATGGAAGTCAGCGACATGCCAGTGACTCCGCCGCGTATCCAAACAGATCAGCAGATGCGAGACGCCAACCGCGCCACCAACCATGTGGCATGGTCTGTTTCACTGGACACGTCTGCGCATAGCCATTGGAATGACATGCCGCGGACCGCAGCGCACGCTCTTGTTCCGTCTCCAACGCTTTCTAGCGTGGGACAAAACCCGTGTGTCGCCGCCAGCGTCAACGAACAACCTCAATCGACGGCTACTGTCTACGATATAGAAGACGAAGACATGGGTGTTGAGATATGCCACGCTTCAGCGATGCCGAGTCCACCCTCGTTACATCGGTCTACGATGGAAGAACGACGACAGTTTGTGCGTCGCTACCAGATTATTCCGCTCGGCCCGAAGGCAGACAAGTCGTCCAAGAAGGACGACTTAACCGGTGGTCTCGTCTCGATCGGGATAAAGCCGACGTCGGGAGACGACAACATGGACTGTACACGTCAGTGCCTCGCACTTAGTGCCTGTAGCGCCCGGACATTCATCATGCAGGTGAGCACATGCATGGGCTACGCTGCTAAGCGGCGGATCGCCATGGGCTTATTGTAACCAATGACGTGCCGTCCGTTGGCTGCGCAAAGTCGCGCAAGACTACCACAAGGTAGTACCTATTGAAAAGGCGCCGACAAATCCCACGGCTGACGACGACGAATGAACGAAAACGCAAAGGGCCCCAAGGCGGCAACCAATGGGAAGACAGACGAGCAAGTCGGACAGTACAGGGAACGACGGAAATCCTTCCCCCGTGGTACTTGAGAAATATCTTGAAATTTGTATGAGAAAAAAATAATTGGACTATTGGTTTTTCGGAAAATAAAATTCTGTTGACCTTTCTGACAGTCAACGAAGCCATCGAGGGACCAGAGATTAGGGTTAATTGAAATTATTGCATGTCAAAGGTTTCAAAAC